TAACAGGCATTATACAACAGATATCCTAGCATTTCCTTTAAAGCGCTACATTTAATTATCCAAGGACACTTGTAAGAAAAAAAACTAATAAAAGAGGGTTTTATTTCCTCCTGTTTTCTTATCAAAGCGACTGAGCATTCCCAGAGATTCTAAGTGTCTTACATTTGCATTTTTATTCCTTAAGACCTGGACAACTGTGTGTTACCACTGAGAAAAAGTTAACTTTCAGTGATATTTGGAAATTGGCTTTTTGAAATTTTGAGGGCTTGAGAGTGTTAAGTAATGTAATAAGAGACAGGAAAGGACATGGTCTCACTTCAGTTTGCAAATTTATTATATATGGGAGGTGACTGCCTTTGCTGCTGACCCCTTATTTGGCCATGCAAAGTGCACGTAAATATATTATTTATTTACTTATGAGTTCATATAATCTAGAAATTCATTCTTTAATTCTACATGATTGTGCCTAACATCTTTAATTTGCACAGAAAAAAATGCATTTTAGTGGCCTATGGGTTATTCGGCTGACATTCCCTTTTATATGGTTGTTACAAAAAATTACTAATATAAAAATGGCTCAACTTTACTGTCAAAATTAAGAAAAAAGAATAAGGTACTTCTGTGTTTTCTTTCCGCATGTATTACTAAACCCTGCCTCCTGGAAAGACTATTTAATGGAAAAAAATCCATCAACACCTCCCATGGTAGTATTGGTGGGACAGAAATGAAAATCTTGAGTATTTTGGGTTTGGAGAATATTTTTTTTCTGAGATTCTTTTGTATTTATTGAGTCAGATGAGGCATCCTTGCAGAGTTCATAAAATATGTGTACAATACTTTCCAGAGCTAATTCTCCCAGAGTGACCTGTCTTCCCTGAGCCAACAGATGGTTCATCTGTGGGATGCTTAGTTTGAAGGAAGGAATTGCTCTAAGGGAGACATCCTACAAAGAAAGCATCAATTTTCCCTATGAGGTCTGAAATTAGTATTTTTCATTTGAGCCATTCATATGGTTTCTTAAATTGTTATTTCCAAGATAATAGACTCTTTAAGTAAAATCCACAGGACTGGTCTCTGTCCCTGTCTCTCAGGCTCTGTCTCCCTCTCTCTTTTTCTCTGTGCTCTCCTCTCTCTCCCTGTTCCTCTTCTCCACTGTGTGTGTGTGTGTGTGTGTGTGTGTGTGTGTGTGTGTGTGTGTGTATACACTGTGTGATTGTGCATATGGTAGCTGGAGGTTGATACTGGACATCTTGATTGCTGGCTATCTTACAGTTGGAGGCAAGGTCTTTCACTTGACCCTGGAGTACACTCATACTAGCCATATAGATTGTTCCAGGGACT